GTGTGTATTTACACAGAAAAGCATGTTACATGCATGTTACAATATTGCTTTGCAGTTTTATCCCCAGCGTGTACGTATGGCCCTCTCCGTGGCGCCGCATGCGCCCTGGCAGCCCTGGCCTGCAGCGCTGTATCTGGTGTGGGTCGAGTAACCTGCTCTCAGCTCCGCGGCCTGAAGTTCTGAGGACTCCTGCCTTCCGGGGGGGGCCTGCCCGTCATGCTTCTGGGGCCAGAAAGCATGCGAATTTTGTGTCTTCGGACGGTAGCTTTTCCTCACTGGCCTCTTGGAACTCTGCCCCCCTACCCTGCCCACAGCCGCCCCAAACCAGACCCGCTGCTCCCGTCTCCGTGGGTCCCGAGCTCCGGCCGCCCCGGGGCTGGGGCCGACTCTCCTGCTGGCCGCTGGCCTCCAGGCCTTTGTTGAGGTGTAGATGGGACAGCTTCACAGCAGGCGGGCGGCGTCCGGAAACCCTGCCCTCGTGCCAAACCGAGCGCCTGGCGGGGGAACACCCGCCCTCACCGTCCCATTCCAGGGGAGAAGAGCCCCTCCTCCTCCCAGCAGCAGCAGCAACTTTCTCTGAGAAAGGCCAGCAGGTCGCCGGCCCCCGACGGCAAGGGGCCTGCCAGCGGGAAACTCTGTCCACTGCGGGCCTCCCCTCCCATCTGCAGCCCGCGCCGCTCTGCCTCTGCCGTTGCAGTTCCTTTAAACACCCACCTGTGCCAATGCGCCGTGGAATGCGTGTGTGGTTTTGACACGGCCCCCCGCTGTTTCACTCTTCCTGAGTTTCTGCCATGGAATCTGGGCCCGCGATGCCTCGCCTGGAATGTGGGGGAAGAGGCTCCGAGTCTGAGCCTCCAGCCCCCCGAGACGCTGCGCGTCGCTCCTGGGGCTGCTCGTGAAATGCTCCCGCCCGGGAGAGCCCAGGCCGGGCCCGTGGCCTCAGAACTGCCAGGCGCCGGCCCGTGTTGCTGCAGACGCCACATCTGCGGCCACCAGAGCTCAGGAAAGCGGCGCGGCCTGGGCGTGAGAGTCTCCTGGAGTACGTCACTTAAAGGAAGGAGTTCGGTTAGGCGGCAGGAGAAAGTGGACGAGTCCAAGGCTCGTCTTTCTGAGTAAAAATAAAGACCAACACGGCACATTTTCTTTGTAGTTACTTTTACTGGAAAAAAAAAAAATGCACAACCTTTTTTTTTTTTTTTTCCAAGAGTCAGAATTAAAGATTGCACAATCATTCACAAATCCTGGCACCCAACGGCTCCCAGGCTGGGCTCCTGAGTCCTGTCCACACACCACCCTGGCGGGGATTCTCACAGCAGGAGCACTGTCCTGGCGGGAGCAGCGGCCCGGAGGGAGCACCCATGGGCCAAGCTCCCTGCTTCTGTGACGGAACTGCATCGGGCCTCGGCAGGAGCTTCTCCGCAAAGATTCCGATCACGAGCAGTTTAAAGTTTCACATTCTTTCCATTTACCACTGATTTCTCCCAAAGCCGGGGAATATAATTCAGCTTCACCCAAAGTCTTTCTCCACGTACCACACAAGCGACTCTCCTCTGCCAGGGACACGACTTCCTCAGTGTTCACTTCCTCTTCACCCACCACTGCCTTCACCGCCCAGGGAGAGGACGTGGCTGCCAATGCAGACACCTCCACCTTCGCAGGGGGAGGGAGAGCGAGGGCTGCCCGAAAGGGACACAGATTTCACAGGTGACTTCAGGGAGCCCCGGGGAGGAACTGTTGCCCTGAACAAGACGCTGTAGTAAGCAACTAGGGAACTTAAAAAAGCAAAATGGAATCAGATGTGGATGCTCTGTTCTGCACCATAATGAATGAAATAGGAACAAGTTCACTACCGTGTTCCTGTTGCAACATGAAACAAGGGCGGCTGGCGGCGCACAGGCACCTGTGGACGTGCGTGCTCTTCTGAGTCAACCGCCAGCGCCCTCCCACGGGCCTGCTCACCGCACGCGCCACGGAGAGCCACGCTCTCCCCCAGAGTCCACAGTTCCGCTCACAGTCCCTCGGTGCCATGGGCACGCCACACGCGTCCGTGAATGATTTATGCACCTGAAAGGGCTGCTGACGCCCCAGAGTTGTTAAGAATATAGAAGCAGTCTCTTAAAAATATACGTCATGTCTCTATGTCTATCTGCGTAGGAAGTATGCGAAAACCTAACATGTCTTATGATTTTGATTTTTGTAAGTAGTTTTCTAAAACAAACTGACACAGAATTTTCCCCTTCAACAGTACTGGTAAAATACAGGGCACCTTTTTCTTTCAAGTATTTGGGTAAAGGAGCATACCCTGAAAATTTGGGGGTACAAACCTACACCTTGTAAACTGAAGGGTGGAACCCCGCAAGCACCACACAGGGAAATGTATGCCAGGGCAGTGTTACACGCAGACACCACTGCCGAATGCTTTCTCGGGCACATGTATCTGCACACCTGTCACGAGATCACAGCCGCCACTCAGGAGCCCACACTGTCCTGCAGTCCGAAGAATGGTTTCAGGCACCTGAGCGTGCCCGTTCTTCCAAAAACAGACTTTTTTTTCCTATGAAGTATGGAAAGAGTTAAAAAGCATCAAATTTCTGGACTAGGCAAGGATGAAAAAGGCACATCTCCAATGAAGAAAAATATGTGTGAAAGGTGTGTTATTGTTTGAGTTTTATCAAAAAGATGGCAAAGTGTCTTTCATTTCAGCTTATTTACTCCACAGCACAGAGGACCACAGCCACACAGGTGGGTGCGCGCGCGCGCGCGCACACACACACACACACACACACAGACTCCCGCTAACCTCACGTCAGGACCTCCTCTCATTCGGGGGCTTATTCCAGTGAGTGCTTTTAAGAAAATACATTCTCTGGTGAATTAAATGTTCCTACGGTCATGACCATGTTCGGTTCTCCAGAAACAATTCAAATGGATCGGATTTCCACCTGACCACTCAGCCAACAGAGGAAAACAGGACCTGGATTTCTCTACACACAGCCTTGGTTCTCTGGGAACCGAGTCACGCCCGTGCCCGGGAGGGAATGAGCACCGCGGCGCTAGGAGACTCACGCTCGAGCGGCACCTCCAGCAGCACCTCCAGCACTGGCACGCGCTGTTAGGGTTTGGAGACGCGAAAGCTGACAGGTACTTCAGGACCTGAAGGTCCATTTGGGGGGTTAGTTCTCTGGGTTGGAAGGTTTCAGAGCCTCTGGTTTTAACCCGTTTTGGTTGAAAAAGTTCTCATCACTTCACTTAAGTATCAACACAACTTCAAAATAGGATGACACGGAGAGAAACGAGGATTCCTGGCACCTCATAGCTCGGAAAAACATGCCTGCCACTTGAGGTAGTCGAGGCCTAGCAGCTTTGTCTGCTTGATGAGACGTAGAACCATAAAATCGACGACGTGGTGTTCGGCGGACACTGTTTTAAGGCTGTATTTGTAACCACTGGACATTGAGCGTGTCCGTGGCTGCTTCTCAGAGGAGGTGGCTGCCTTGATGGGGCAGTGGATGGAAAGCTTCCCTCTCTTTCCTGGCTCTGCCCTCATCGACCTGAGGTGAAAACCTACGGCTCGTACCTGCTGGTGGTAAATCATGGCAAGCGGTTCACAGGCCCCAAGCGCTGGCAGGCAGATCTCCACCAACCTCCTTCTCTCCGAGGAGCTGTGAAGTCCACTGCACCTTCCTAACAGCCTCCCCAATTGGGTGCTGCACCCAGATCCTACAATGCGTCACCAGATATGTGCAGATGCTTGAGATTTGGGGGTGCAGCTAAGAGACTGTATGTTTGAGGTGTCTGAAATGGTTTCTCCTCCGTGTGTCAGTGACGCACGCTCAGGCTGCCTCTCCGGAGAGGGAGGACGTGCCGGTGCCGTCCGACATTCCTGTCCCAAAGTCCCTGGAAGCCGGGTCGCCTGGGCCTCTGGGACTAAGGCTCCGCGGGGAACCTTGTTCATGCTCGGGGCTGTCGTGTGCCCACAGCGTGCCCTCATCACCCGTCCAGATCTCAGCCCCCAGGCGACCACCCTGCCTCCACCTTCCTCTCCCCAGCAGAGCACCTGATAGAGTCAAAGCCCCTTAAGGAGGGCCCTGAGTGTTAAAGTGAGAATTTTTTCCCCTAAGAAGAAAGTGAGGTTCAAGGGTAGCTACCGAGCGCTGGGCTCACGCAGAGCTCACGCAACTCAGGCTCCTGGCTGCGCGCGCACACATCGTCATAAATAACAAGTTCTGAGCCTTCGAGCAGCAGTTCTAAGCAGACGCCAAATATCGACAATTGTTAAAATCAAAAGAAGGCTTTTAAAAAATCACCAGAATGTTTTCTCTTTGAACAAACAAGGAGATTCCTTCGAGAAACCCGGGAGAATCTTCAAGTTGTCCTTTTGAAAAGCCGGCAGCCAGCCAGCCCGACGCGGCTGACTGCGCGGTGACACGCTTCCGCGTCGCGACGAGCTCAGTGCTGACCCGTGCAGGCGACAGCTGCGTCCTCGGCGGCCCCGCTGAAGTGGCCTCCGGCACAGACGCAGCCCCAGAGCTGAGCCCGGGGAGCAGACCCGCGGCCTCTCCCGGCGCAAGGCCCGGGGCGCCACCGGCTCCCCAGTCTGCACCCCAGCGGCCTGTCCCGGCCCCGCACAGACGGGAAAATGCAAACAAAGAGCAAAAGCTACAGCGGCACCACTGTCTGGCCAGTCGCATCCGAAATCCTCCTCCCGGGAAAAGAACACGTGGCCGGGAAGCGAGGGCCCGGGCCGCGGCCACAGGCACAGGCCGGCGCGTCCACCTCGCAACCCGAACAAAGGCTACAGCCTGCGGGACGTCCTCAGCTACGCCAGGAGCTCGGGCGGGAGCAGCCCACGCAGCTGCACGGCCGTGGGGAGACGCCGCCCCCACCCCGGGGTCCCTGCCAGGCCGGGAGGCCGCGTGCCCAGCGCAGCCCGGGAGGGAGGCGGCCACACGCTCGGAGCTGCACCCACGCCACAGACACGCGGCGCTGCAGGAGGAGAAGGCGGCCGGGCCGGCCGCGCAGCCCAGTTAAAAGAGCACAGGCTCTCCTCCAGGGCTGCGCACGAACACGTGGAGACGCACACGCTGGCTTACAGAAGAGAAAACTCAGACAAACACGCGTGGAGGGAGATTTCCGGGTGGATCCTCAGCGCTGGCGCATCGCGGCCTTCGGGGTCGCAACAGTCCGTCTTTCTGTCTTGCTCCTACAAAAAAAAAAGTCAAAGAAAATTGTGGGCGCTAAAGTAAAGTCACACGTGCAGAAGCAAGAAACACGTCAAAATACACTTCACTTCACGGCTGGGCTCATCTCAGCCCTTCTGGCGCAGCTGGCGTCGCCCCGCGTGCCTGCACCTGCCGCGCGGGACACCCGCGGAGGGCGGCAGCGGGAAGGCGGGGGCCGGCCTCGGGCCCACATGGGGCTCCGGCACGGCCTCCCCCACGGCTCCATTTCCTCCCGCCCCCCGCTCTCGCCGCGGCTTGGGGGAGCAGAGGGAGCAGGAGGCGGGCAGCAGCCGGGATGAGAACGAGCAGCAAGAACAGTGAGGAGGGACGGAGCGGCGCGGCGCCCGGACTCACACCCCCGCGCAGGGGCGACGAGAAACCAGGACGCAGTCAAACTGCAGCCCAACCTCCCACGGAACAGAGGATAAAGCGCGCGAAGGGGTGGCAGGGGACAGCGTGGGGAGGCCAGTCAGCAGGGGGCCCGCCCCCCAGGAAGGAGGACCCGGGCCGGGCCGGCACCCTGGGAAAGCACCGACGGTTCTGGCTGTGAGTCCAGACTCCGCCGCCCCCAGGGACGTTGTGACTCAGGGGTCACGTCAGCCCCCTGAGCCCCAGTTTCCTCTTCAATTTTGACACAAGGGCTGGGTGACCTGGAGGCGCCTCCAGAGCCCCATGCAGCACCCCAAGGGCCCTTGCTCCCCCGCTCTAGCCTGACCCGACACACGGGGGCGCTCAGGGTCCTCGGGGGCAGGGAGGACTCAGAGGAAGGGAGACTGGGGTGCGGCAGCCGCAGACGTGCCACAGCAGCCTCGTACAGGAAACAAGACGTTAAGGGACGAAGCCGCGGCGCTTCTCTTGGGCCGGCGCCCAGGGCAGAGCAGACACGGTGCCCACCGAGGTCCTGTTTATTTTCTCTTTATGCTCTTATCACTGGTATTCCCTACCAAGTCTGCATTTAAATTGTAAAACATAACGGGACGTGGGAGTCGACGTGTCAGGAAGGAGAGCCGGCAGCGTCTCTGCTGACCGGAGCTGAGCAGCCCAGCCCAGCCCAGGCCAGCCCAGCAAGGGCCTGCAAGTGTGGACGGAGCGACGAGAATCAGAACGAAGATCAGGGAAGGGCCTGGAGGACCTGTGGGGGCGGCTTTCAAACAACATCCAACAAACAAGGGCCTGGTTGGAAAAGAGGCCTCGGGGGCCCTGGGGCCCAGGCCCTGGCCCGGGCTGGGGACAGTCTCTTCCACAGGTTGGCAGGTGTGCGATGCTGTTCCTAAATAAAAGAAATTGTACGACGTCACCAAGTGTTGGTATGAGGTGCAAAGTTAGAGAAGCACTGAGTTACTAAGCCCAGAGACAAGAACTCTGGGAAGACTCGGCCATGAAAGCAGCAAATAAAGGGAATTCAGGAGTTGACCAGAGCCCGGAGCAGCTGTCGCAGGGGGAGCTACCTCCAGCCCTGTGGGGCTAAAAATAGCTGCTGAGATGCTTATTATTTGAGCTGGAGGAGCTGGGAGGTTAGGACAGGGCTGGAACTCGAGCTGTAGCTTTTGCGTCCTTCCTGGGAGCACAGACAGGCCCCAGCTGGGTTGTCACTAGGGCAGTGAGCGTGCAAACGCTGTTCATGTTGGGGGAATGAATGGAGGAAACAGGGCGCTTAGTTCAGGCACTCGCTTTACAAACCTCCGGGGAGGCGGAGCAAAGCCACTTCTTTCCAAGCCCCTGTTCCCTTCTCTGGGAAATGCTGGGGGTGGAGCAGAGCCTCACAGGACTGCTGGAGGGGCACCCCACCCCCACCTCTCACCCCCCAGCCTCAGGGAACACCAGGGCCTGAGTCCGGCTTTTAAAGGAAAGCTTGGCCTCGGGCCAGTACCCAGGAGCCACACGGGGCGCGGCTGTCCTGGCCTCGGCTGATGGGCAAGTGTGGACACTGTAACCTCGGACAGAGCCGATGGTCTTAAATTTCACATAAGGCAAAGCTCTGTGCACTTCCTCTTAGGGGTTTCACTTCCCCTTGGAAAGTGGCATCCAACTTTCTGGCAGGTGAGTCTGAAGGAAGCCTAGCGCTGACCCTCCAGCTCCTGACTGTTCTTGGGAGACCCCCTCTCCCTTTCAGTCCTCAAGGCGACTGGCACGGTGAGGGTGGGCTGTGCTCCTGGAAAGGGAACGCTTTTCCACAAGACCGCTGTTCAAATCTCAGACGCGCAAGGTCTAGCTCACCTCTGCGTCTGACGGAAACAGAGATTCAGTGCCAATCCCATCTGCCCAGACCCCGCAGAGGGAAGGACAGCAGAGGCGGCCAGCGGCCCTCCGCCCAGACTGGGGTTCCTGTCCCCCTGCTCCTGTACCCCCCACCCGCTCCTGTACCCCCCATCCACTCGGGGACCACAGTCCTGAGGCTCGAATGGCTTTGTGTAGAGGCTGTTGCTTCTCCCGCAGAGCCGGGTCTGTGCTTCTGAGTCCCTTCTGCGTGCGCAGAGAATTTTTTCTTTATTTGCAGCCTCAAACCAAAGATGCGTTATGTATCTCCGACCCTCCCCTCCCTCTTCAGTGGTGAAAGCCACAAACAAAGGGCCTGCTGCAGGCATGCCGAGGACGAATGCAAACAGCCTGTTTCTAAAATGCACGTGAACTGAGGCCTGTCCTTGCACTTGAGTTGCTGGGAAGGACCCCAGGGCTCTGAACCGAGGCGCGGAGACCGGCCAGCGCGGCTCCAAGCCTTTCCTCTGAGGGAGGGTCACCCCTGGCACACCCTGCTGGAGCCCCCGGCTGCCGCGGAGGGCAGGGGCCAGGGCCTGACCACCCTTCTGCTTAATTTAAGGCCCTCTCATGGCACAAACTCTCGGCTCAGGAATGGGAGAAACGGCTTATTTCATTCCTTTAAGCACAGAGGTTTCTCTCCCTGCGGGGTGATCCTCCGAGGACGGTCCCCGCACACTGAGACTCGCCCTCCCCGCGTGCAGGGGGCGCAGGAGGGGGCGCAGGAGGGGGCGAGTGTGAGCGCCAGCGCTGCGCCCCGGGCTCCGGCTGCAGGCCTCGCTGGGGGCGTCTGACCTCAGGTGTCCTGGCTCAGAGCAGCAAGTGCCGGGGCAGCCCCACAGCAGGACCCGTCTGTGGACCCACCGGGCTCAGGAGTCGGCTCCATCTGATCTCGTTTGGCGAGGGGTGGAAACGAGCAGCCTCGAGCGAGCGCCTGGTGCCGATCGGCTGGGGAGCAGACTCGGTCTGAGGACAGGCCCTGCCCAGGGAGCGGCTGTGGCCTGCGATTGCCCTGCCCTTGGAGGGCAGCCACGGCGTGCACGGTGTGTGAGTGTGCATGGGTGTGCACGCGTGTGTGTGCTGGGAGCCTGCCCTCTCCTGGCAGACCAGCCTCACGTCAGCAAGTACGTGTGCACGGAGGCAGGTGTGAGGCACCAGGCAGGCCTTGCACACCCTAAGGAAAAGCGTCCTGACTCTGAACAGGAGGACGGGAGCCTAACACACAGGCTCTTGGTGTAAGGGGCCTGCAAGGCGGCAGGGGCAGAGAGCGGCCTGCGCAGAGCCAGACATCCTGCTGACAACGCCTGTCGGGGTGCAGACGTCCCTGGTGTTTCTGCTGAGCTCTGCCTGCCCCCCACCCGTCACGCTGCAGGAGCAGGTGCACCCGGTTCCTCTGTCCCCCGCCCCCTGCATCGGGATCACGGGTCCAGAAGGCCCCGGGGGTCGGGGTCCAAGGGGAGGGCTGTGCAGAGCCGCTCCTGTGCTGCAGGGTGCCCGGGCCACCCCGGGACGGCGCTCCCCCACTCCCCCCACCCCACCGCAGCTGCGCACTTACCCCACCAGCCGGCTCATCTCATCTGTGCTCCACCACGAAGCTCATGGTGGTGCCGTCAAAGGAGGGGGGCGCCACGATGCGGGGCCCCAGGGGCTGCGAGGTGATGCTGATGACCGGCTTGCCGTGCAGCGGGGTGAAGCCCGTGGTGCCCAGGAGCTGGGGGGCGGCCGTGGGGGTGGAGGAGGGTGGAGAGGTGGGGGCCTGCCCAGAGGCCAAGAAGTAGGGGGCCTCTGCGAACACGGCCGTGGCCTCTTTGCCGGGGGCCTCAGCAGGGAGCTCGCCAGCCCCTGGTGTGCGGGCCACGGGTGTGGGCGGGAGGGCACTGGGGGGCAGCACCGTGGGCAGGAAGCCGGGGTAGATCATGTAGGTGGGCGCGTAGGCCCCGGGGCTCAGGGCCACGGGGGGCACCGGGAGGGACACGGGCGCCACCGCCGGCTGCTGCGTGCTGATGGGCACGTCCACATACTGCCCCGTCTCGGGGTCAAACAGTCTCCGGGTGGCGGGCTGCACGGGGGTGTCCACCAGGTAGTACTGGCCGGTGGTCACGTCCAGGAGCATCTTGCGCTGGGTCTGCGGAGGCCGCGGCTGCTGGAAGGGGTCCGTGGGCACCTGCGGGCCGGGGGGCGTGGGAGCCGGCGCGCCGGGCGGGGAGAAGCAGAGCACCTGCGGCTGCGCCCCCTGCAGCGCGAAGGGCAGTGACTGCGGGTGGTAGATGGCGGCAGGGGGCTGCTCGGGGCTCTGCGGCCCTGCGGGGGCGGCTGCCCTCTCCCCGGCAGGCTCTGGCTTGCTGCGCCAGGCTGGCCGGCTGGCCCCGCCGAGCTGAGAGGCCCTGGGGTTGCCAGGCACCTGGCTCCGGGCACTCAGGGGGGGCAGGCTGCAGAGAGAGGCAGCCGAGGGAGCTGAGGGTCCCTCGCGCCCCGCGGCGGTGCTGCCCTTGGGGGGGAGCGCCAGGAAGTCGTCCCGGCGGCTGCTGCTCTTCTCCAGGTGGCCGCTGGTTTTCCGCTGGGGCACCCCCTCGGGAGCCGCCCGGGCGGCCGGCGAGATCTTCAGGGACCGTGGGCCCTGCAAGGGGCTGCCCTTAGGGGTGCCGGGGCTCTCTGGAGACTGCCCCTGCGGGAACTTGCCGGCAACCCCGCCGGCCTTCTGGGTCCTGCTGGAGCTGACAGCGAACGCCTGCCGGCCGCTGGGGGGTGCAGGCAGGGGCTGCAGGGGCGCCGGCCGGAGGGGGTCCTTGTGCACCGCGGGGATGTACAGGGACCGGGGACGCTCCCTGGCCAGGCTCTCGAAGGCCGCCGCCCGGGCAGACACGCTGTCGCTGCTGGGGTTGGAGTTCCTGCGCTGCAGCCGCTCTGGGGGGGTTCCCCGCAGGACCACGCCGCCTCTGGCCCCCTGGTCTCCCGCTTCCGTGTCCCCCGGGCGCCGGGCCGGCTGCCCAGGGTCGCCCCCGGGCCCCCCGGGCCCCGCCTTCTCCTCGCTGGCAATGAGCGACAGCACGTGGCTGTCCATCACCACGGGCAAGGGGTCGCTCTTGCGCTTCCAGGCGTTCCTGTCGAAGCTGTACAGCTCCTCCATGGAGCGCACGGCCGCCGTCAGCTTCTCCAGGGCGCCGCGCGCCGGCCCGGGGGCCCTGGCCTCCTCCTCCTCCTCCTTGGCCTTCTCCGGGGTCTTCTGTGCTGCAGCCTTGGACACGATCCTGAGCACCGGCAGGTAGGAGCCCTGCTCGGGCTTGTTGGGGGCGATGGTGGCCACGGGCAGCCGGCCCGAGGCCCTGTGCACCAGCACCGTCCCTTCGGGGGGCGCGTCCAGGCGGTCCGCGCGGTCCTCCCGCTGGCTCAGCACCGCCTGGCACGTGATCACCATGGGGGACGGGGGCCCGGGCCCGACTGCGGCCACCACCAGCTGCCTGGCCTTGGGGCCGTTGAGGGCCTGCTCGGGGGTGACGCTGCCCTTGTCCCCACAGTCCCCGGACCCCTTGATCAGCTTCCTGACGTCTCTCACCTGGTGGAGGGGCCCCTGGGCCTTGGGCTTGTCCCTGACGTCCCTGACCTGGAACTGGGGCACCTTCTCCAGGCCGTCCGCCCGGAGGCCTCTCTGCTGCGCCCTGGCGCCGTCCTCCGCCCGGCCGAGGCCCGCCGCGCCGCCCGCCAGCCGGGGCGTGAGCAGCTGCGCGATGCTGAAGTCGGGGCTCGGCGGCTGCACGCTGCCCAGCCTGATCTTGATCTCGGGGGCCTTGGGCCGCACCACGGCGGTGGAGGGGCCCGCGGCGGCGGTGTGCTTGGTGGCCTGCTTCGCCGGCCGCCTGTCCGGGGGCGTCTGCTGGATGTTGGGGACGAAGAGGCGGGACATGATGGTGGGCCTGGCGGCGGACAGCTCCCCGAGGTCAGCCCGCCCGTCGCCCGCGCTGCGCGGCGCCCCCTTCCCGGCCCGGGCTCTGTCCTCCTGCTGCTCGGCCTCCCTGTCCCTCCAGGAGCGGAACGCGCTGTGCTGGCTGCGGAGCAGGACGCCCTTGGCCGCCTCGGACGCGTCCTTCTGGGCCTCGCAGGCCTCGTCGGTGGGCCCCGCGCCGCCGCCCTCGCGGGGCGCGCTGGCCCTGAACACCGGGGACCTCGACCCGGCCGCGGAGCCCTCGGCGCCGGCGGGGTCCGAGGCGCTGCCCGCGGTGCCCTCCGAGCCCGCCTCCGAGGGGCGCGAGCTCTGGCGCTGCAGGCCCGGCTCGGGCTCCGCGGCGGCGCCGTCGGGCTGGGTGGCGTCAGCGGCCTCGCCGCGCTCCATCTGCATCTCGTGCTCTCGCCGCATCTTCTTGGAGATGACGTTCTTGAGCAGGCTGGACGCGAACTTGGCCTTCTTCGGGGGCCCCTCGGCGCCAGCGGCCGGCTGGCCGCCCTCGGAGGCCTCGGAGCCGTCGTCGGTGCAGGCGGACCCGGGGCCCCGGGGGCCGGCGCCGGCCTTGCCGCCGCCGCCCGGACGCAGGGGCTGGAGCAGGGAGACCACGCGGGGGCCGGCGCGGCCCTGCTTCTGCAGGCGGGGCGGCGTGTCCACGTGCGTGATCTCGCCGTCCACCTTGCTGACCACGAACTCCAGGGCCCTGGCCTGGGCCTTGCGGGCCGGGGCGCGCAGCTGCTCGGAGGCTGGCCCGGCGCCCGCGCCGCCCCGCAGCAGGCGCTGCTCCCCGCGGGCCCCGGCGCCCGCGCACTTCAGGTCCAGGAGGGCGGACCAGCGCCCGCGCCCGGCCTCGGAGAGCGTGGACTCGCGCGAGCAGACGCGCAGCGCCTCGAAGCAGGGCCCGGCCAGGCTGCGGAAGGCGCGCGCCGTGAGGCTGCGCACCTCCTGGTCCGCGTCGTCCGGCTCGCTGAGCGCGCTGGAGGCGCCGCTGGAGCGGTCGGGCAGCGCGCCCCGCGCCCGGGGCTGCCCCTGGGGCCCGCCGGCGGCCGGGGCTCGCTGCGGGGGGCCGGGCGCGCGCTCGGCGGCCGCGGGGGCGCGGAGGCTCATGGCGCCGTCACGCGGGGCGGCGGGCGCGGGGTTGCGCTCCCCACGCGCGCCGCCCGGCTCCTTTATAGCCCGGGAGGGCGGCGGGCGCGATGGGCGGAGCCGGCCCCCGGCGCTCCCGCCGCTGCGCGCGGCCGCTGGCCCCGGAGCTGCCCCCGCGGGCGGCGGGCAGGGCGGGCGCGCGGCGGGGCCGGCCCCGGGCGGCGGGGGCGCGGGCGCGGGGGCGCCGTCCGAGGGGCCGTCCTGGCCGCCGCCGGGGCTGGAGCCGAGGTCGCGGCTGCCCTCGCCGTCCCCCGGGGTCCCGTCGCGGCCGCCGGGGGGCGCGGAGCCAAGGCCGTCCTCGAGGCCCCCGCGGGCGGCCGGCGCCGCGTCCGCGTCCCGGTCCGCGTCCGAGTCCGAGTCCGCGTCCCGGTCCGCCTCGCTCAGCTGGATCTCGCGGGTGCTGATGAAGCGCGCGCCCCTGCGCCCCGGGGCCAAGGCGGGGGTGTCCGGGCCCCGCGCGCCGTCGCCGCTGTCGCCGCCGGAGCCCGGAGACGAGGACCGGGCGGCCGCAGCCGCAGCCCCCGCGGCCTCCCGGTCCGCCCGGGAGAGGCCCTCGCCGCGGGCCCGGCCCCGGGGGAGCGCGCGGGGGAGGGGCTGCGGGCTCCGGCGCGGGGCGCGTCCTCCGGGCCCCCGAGCGCCCCCCCCCGGGCCGCGCCCCAGAGTCAGCGTCAAGCCCCGGGCGGCTCCCCGCGGCCCCCGGCCCGGGCGCACAGCTCCGCGTGCCCGGCTTCCCCCCCGGAGGCCGCCGCAGGCTCGGGAAGCGCCAGCAGCTGCCGCCCCGCGCGCCCCACCTCGGCGGGCTCGGGGCCGGCGGGGTCCATCCCGAGGTCCAGGGACAGGAGCAGCCGGAGGTGAGCGCGGGCGCAGTTCTGGGCTCCTGGCGCGCCCCGCAGCAGGGCCCCGCGCGCCCGAAGCGGCCCCCAGGCCCCGGGCCCCCGGCTCACGGCGGCCACCAGCTCCCAGCCCGCCGGCCCCGGCGCCGCCGGGGTCCTCGCGCAGGCGGCGAGGGCGGGGGGCCTCTCGTCGGGGTGCCCGTCCGGCCGGGGGCTCGCGGCGCCGCGCGCCCCGGGAGGCTCCTCCGCAGGGCGCCCCCGGGACACCCAGAAGTGAAGGGGAAGCATGTGCGTTTCTGGCGAGCCCGGCGCTGGCCGGCGAGGTGGTCACGTCATTCCAGAAATATTTTTAGTGTCCGTTCCCTCATCATAGTGAAGCCACACTGGGTGGCGGGAAGAAAGAGGAGCCTCGGCCAGAGAGGAGGCCGGGGGTGGAGGAAGCGCGTGGGCTCTAATCCCGGCTCCCAGATGCTCCTGTGACCCGGCTGGAGACGCCAGGCGGGCGGCGAGTCCTGCAGGCACCCTGTGCTCCCGGGGCCCAGCGGGCGCGGCTCCTCTTGCTCTGGAATAAAACCCGAATTCAGGTGGCCTCCGTGCGCGGGAAGCACGCGCCACAAACATTTCAAAATCTCCCTGGTGCTCATGGCAGCTCTGCGGCGCCTCGACATCGAGCCAATTTCTTGCTCTTTCATTTCAGCCAGAGGCGCTCTGGTAACAGGACTGTGCACCGGCCGGCAGCGTCCGCCCGGCCACCCCAGGGTCACAGCTATGACCATCATCTGTTTGCTTAAAAATAGGAGACTCCCTCCCACGCCCCTCACGGTGTGGACTCAGAGTACGAAAGGGCAGTTTTCACAGATCACGGCCAACACTTTAAGTTGCTGCTTCATCAAAGTCCCTGTCAAGGAGCCGTGAGGCCAGAATCCACCCTCTTTCACACAGCGTCCCATCGGTCTCAAGAGAAAGTTCCCTGGACGCCTGAGAGTGTGCCGAAGCCATGCAGCGCCAATTAAATTTAGCCCGAGCTGCAGCCTCGGGATTCGGTTTCCCTGGCGGCCGGCAGATTCCAGGCCTGCGGGCAGGAAGGCAGGAATGCTGCGCCCTTCGAGCCCACGGCCCGGGGGGGGTCTGAGGAGTCGGCTGCTGGCAGCCTACGGGCAAAGCCCAAAGGCCTGGTCACTGGCTCCGAGGCACGTCCATCTGCAGTGCTCGGTGGCCCAGAGCGGACGGGCCGGCGGGGGGGCGGGGCTGGCTGCCCCCGGGGCTGCGCGCAGGAAGCCGGGCTCCGGGTCGGGAGGCCTGGCCGCCGGCCACCACTATACATAGTCCGTGTGTCACGGACCGGCTGAATAAAGCCCTATTTTAAACATCCACATTTGTGGGGAACAAAAATAACATGATCATCCAACAGGCGAGCCACCCCCGCCCGGGAAAATGTCCCTTCCTCCTGGCTGGCACCGAGGTCTGCCGGCTCAGGTGGTGCAGCCGGCAAGCCCTGCCGCTGTCCTCGCCGTGCCCCCGCCCACGGTGCCACCTCGCAAACACCGCCGGCAAGGCCTGCGCGCGGGGATTAGCACGGAGTGGGTACCAAGCCAGAGCGCCGGGTGCAGAGGGTAAAGGAAAACAGGAAACAGAAAGAAGCTGGCAGGAGAGAGGAGCAGAAGAAAGAGCGAAAACAGGAGAAATTTGCTAAATTTGCAGCACTTTTTGCTTCTGGAGCGCCAGGCCGAGTGAGCGCCCAGGCTCAGGTGGCCGGCTGTGTAGACCACACAGCGGGGCTGAGACGGGGGCGCTGCAGGGAGCACTGCCGGAGGCCCTGCCGGGGCGTGCGCGCTCCTCGCCCGCCTGATAGTTCAGGGACTGCACCTATGGGGAAACTGAGGCACGAGACGTCTAGAAAACATAGAGCCGAGTTCCAAGTCCGCTGGTCTGATGCTGGAGCATGAGCTTAGCCACTGCGCTCGGGCCTGGCTCCCGCACCCAAGCCCACGCCGTGGCCCGCCCCGCGGCAGGCGGGAGCGCAACAGCCGCCTTCCTCTCGTACTGTTTTTGATCAGCCAATCTGCGTACACATAGGGCCTCGGGGACCAAGGAGCGTGACCCCATGAATAAAATGAAATGAATGGGACCGGCTCCCTTGGGCAAGGGGACTACCGTCTGGTCTCCCTCGCACTTGGCTGAGACCACGGACAGCGCCCCGGGCGTGTGGGCCTGGCACAGCTCCGGCAGAGCACACGGCCCTGTCTGCCCACCGAGGCTGCAAGAGCCGCGGGGGATGCTACCAGCACTTTCCGGGGGGCCCCGTCTGTGATGAAAGCTCCGCGGATCTGGGCAGCTTCTCCCTGCCGTGGGCAGAGGCCGACGCCGAAGCTCAGGCGCCCCGGGCTGGGGTGAAGCGGAAGTGGTTAGAGCCCGAAGCCCTGGGAGCCCCAGAGAGCACCGTCCCGGCACAGTCCCAGGAGACCCGGGAGGAGGTGAGCTCGAAGAGGCACTTACCTCCCAGGTGCGCGCCGGCCTAGGAAACGCCCGAGGAGACATCTTCTCACGTGAAATCAGTTTCCAGACAGTCGGGCCTCATGCAAACCACGCCTTAGATTGAACCTCAAACAAGCCAAGGGTTTGGCGTAGGACACGCCAGTAAAGAAAGCGGTGGCCGATGGGGGAGCAGCGCCGAGCCCCCGCGGCCTGCCTGCCGGCGCCTGTCAGAGCGCTGGTCCGGGGGTCTGCCGGGGCCTCAGGCCTTTTATGCCGGGCGGGGCTCCCCCGATGCTGCAGATGAACTCAGGAGGGCTGCCTGACCTCAGCTCTTGGGCAACTACCTGTGACTCAGTCCCCCCATTCACCGTGTGAGCCACGCACGGGGGCTAGGTGGGCTCGGACATCACTGTATATGGGAAGGGTCGGGGCAGCAGAGGACGTGACTCAGGGCCATTATTTTTATCTCTGCAGAGACGTTTCCTCACATGCCCTAAGAGCCCCGAGAGGTGCATCACGGCATGTAAGGCTCTCACGTGATTAAAAACCCAAGAATGAAGGCCAGGCTGCCCGCCCCACCGCGAAGGGTCTGCTGGTGCCCAACGGCGCCGTGAGACCTGCAGGACCGGCTGTGCGGGCGGGGCTACACTCAGGTGAGGGGTTCACCAGACACCCCGAGTTTTCTGGTCACTAGGTCCCGTGTGAGTCCCTCTGCTCAGGGCTCTCGGCTATGGACGTGACACAGGGAGGCGCTGACCTCGGAGCCGCACCCCCGGGCGGAGGTGGCTCCTGGACAAACTCTCTCCACACTTGAGTTCACTTCGTCCTCTCAAGCCACACGCGGGCCTGGTTCTTGTTCCCATTTCGCGGAGGAGACCGGCGTCCACGTGAGCCGGCCGCCACAGGCTCCCACGGGCGGCGGGCTGGGCCGGCACCAGCTCCAGGCCGCTCGGCTCCTCCCTGGCCGCCGGCCTCCGCTGCCCAGCTAGCTGCTCCGTGGGCCCAGCTGGTGGCTGCGGGAGGGAGCAGCCGGCCAGTGTAAGCTGATCCGCATGGAAAACAGTGTGTCCCCCGAGGACGGGCCAGCGGGGCTCTGCTCGGCCCAGGGCACGTTCGGCCAGGCCGAGCAGCACACAGCGGGACGGCAGCCTCAGCTGTGGCCGCGGCTTGGAAGGGCAGGAGGAGCACCGGGAGGCAAGCCTGGGAGACGCGCAAGCCCCACGCAGGGGACAGAGGGGCACAGAGCACTCGACCCCCACCCCGCAGTCAGGGCACATGGAGAGCCCCCTCATTCCACGGCCTCCTGGACACATTGCCCTCCCTTCCCCCAGGTCCCCTCGACTTCCTTCAGCCCCCGACTTCTAATCCTGTAACTTTCTGTGGGGTTTTCTTAGGAAGGAGCTGTGGCCGCGCTGGTGTCGACAACGGAAAGTGACCCTCCAGACGAGTTTCGAAGTGAGGCCCAGGCAGGACAGACACGTCTTTCTCTGAGTAATACTGACCACTTCCAGGAGCCTAACCCTAATGCTGGTCCTCCAGAGAGCCCTGGCACCCTGGCCCGCAGGGGCAGGTCCTGAGAGGGGTTCTTTCCCCCAGGCCCCTTTCTGGGAGAGCAGGTCAGGGACATTGTCTCCCCAGCAGCTCTCCCACTGGTCAGTCAGCAGGGCAGCAGGCCTTCGGCCCCCAACCTCAGCAGCAGCAGGCTTCTGTAACACCTGCTCACCCAGTGGTGCAGAACATAAGATCTTGCCCCTGGGAGCTGCAGGCTGGGCTTGCCCTGCCCTGCCATGTACTGTCAGCAGCTGGACTTGGCATCACTGCAGTAACTGGAGCTCCTCCCTCTTCCTCTACGCTGCTGGTTCTCCCCATCCCTCTACCCTGATAGAAGGATTTTTTTTTTTTCCAGCACCAAAGGCCCTTTAGTTCGCATCGGTGGTGGCAGGTGTGTCTAGACCCTGAAGTGGCGAGAAGTCCTGCCCTGATGAGTTTTTAGACTCTTCCAGTAAGACGCCAACTATGAGGACGAAAAAAAGGGTTATGAGAGAAAAATAGCTGGAAAAAAGTGTCTATTGGGCACATAGTGCCTGCAGAGAAGGGAAGACACTGAGGCAGGAAATCTGAGAATTATCCACTGAGTCACCTGTGAGGGAAAGTCAGCTGCTGAGAGGAAAGATCTGGAAAGTTGTATTGAGCACGATGTGCCTGAAGAAAATCAAGGCCTTAGAAGGGAAAAACCTAAGGAAAGAATCTACTGCACACGCTGTGGCTGAGGAAAGGCTTGGGCTGCGAGGAAAACAACTGAGCAAAGGTCTGTTGGGCACAATGACTGTGACACTGTCAGGGCTCTGAAGAGAAAAATCTGAGGCGAATGACTGCTGTGGCTACATACAGTGCCTAAACTGGAAAATCTGAGGATCATGTCTATAGTGTAGACCAATAGTGAGGGGAAACATGGTTCTCAGGAGGAAAAAAATAGGGAAAAGAGATGTAAAGACAGTATCTGGTGAGAAAATAGTGACCTGAGGTAAATGACACTGGGAATAAAGTTTGTGAGAACAAATGCCTCTGGAGAGAAAATCTGAAGAGGAAGATTTAATGTGAACAAAGTCTGAGGCTATACCAGGGCTCAGAAGGGAAATATTGATGAGTAATGCTATTGGAAACAATGGAAGTGCTGTGGGGGGAAAACAGAGATCTGCAGAGAATTGTAAGAATAGAAATGTCTAATAAGTAAGAAGATCTGAAGAGAAAATTCTGACAATGCCTATTGAACATCAGGTGTGTATGAGAACAGAGGGCTCTGAGGTGAAAAA